CCTTCCTTCCTTCCTTCCTTCCTTCCTTCCTTCCTTCCTTCCTTCCTCCCTTGTCTTTCTTTCTTTTTTTTTTTTTTGGCAACTTGATGACTACTCTTTCTCCTTATCCCTCCAACATCAAATGCAACAACAGACAAACAAAACCATTGTAACAAATAAACATAGTCAAGCAAAACAAATCCACACATTACAAAATTGTATGTCTCATTAGGTACTTGAGTCCATTACAGCTTTGGGTAGAGTGCTTTTTCATTAGATCTGTAGAATCATGATTGGGCATTGCATTGATCAGAGTAGGATAGATAGAGTATTCATTTATTAAGTAACTTATATGCCAGATACTGTGTTAAGCACTTCATAAATATGATCTCTTTGATCCTCATAACAGCTCATAACAACTGCTGTTGGTAAATGCTATAATGGGGTAGATCCCCATTTTATAATTGAGAAAATTGAAACAGGTTAAGTGATGTGTCCAGTATCACACACCAGGTAGTAAGTATTTGAGATTGGTTTTGAACTCAGGTCTTCCTAACTCCAGGCCCAGTGCTCCCTTCACTGTACTATGTAGCTGCCTCTGAGTTCTTAGGTTTTTCAAAAAGTTTTTAAACAATATTATTGTTGTACAAATTATTTTCTGGGTTCTACTCACTTCCTCTTGCATTAATTCATACAAGCCTTCTTAGGTTTCTTTGATACTGTCCATTTCATTATTTCTCATACCATGATAATATACTAGCACATTCATAGACCATAATTTGTTCAGCCACTCCCCAATTGATGTCTCTAGTTCTTTGCTGTGACAAAAAGAAATTGTATGAATATTTTTGTTTGTATTGGTTATTTTCTTTTCATTAAAATCTTCTTAGTATAGAAGTCAAGTAGTACTACTGTAGTACTACTAGGTCAAAGGGTCTGCACAGTTTAGTTATTTTTTGGCATAACTCCAAATTGTTTTCCAGAATGGTTGCATCAGCTCAAAATCTACTGTCAATGTATTAATGTGCTGATTTTCCTATGAGTCCCTCCTTGTCATTTTCCTTTTTTTTTTTATAAATGTTTCCAATCTGATGGATATGAGGTAGAAACTCAAGGTTGTTTTAATTTTCATTTCCCTAATTATTAATGGTTTGGAGCATTTTTTAATTTGTCTTCTGATAGCTTAGGTTTCTTCTTTTGAGAACTGCCTATTCCTGTGCTTTGACTATTTCTTTGTTAGGAAATGGCTCTTATTCATATATATTTAAATCAGTTTCTTATAGCTCCCACATATCAGACCATTATCAGAAAAACTTACTGCAAAGATTTTTTCCCTAGTTAATTGTTTTCCTTCTATTTTTAATTGCATTGGTTTTCTCTGCACAATATCCTTTTGATTTCACGTAGTTAAAATTGTCCATTTTATCTTCTGTGATCCTCTCTACCCTGTTGCCATATTTAGAGAATATCTGCTCTAAAAGACAAACAATAAAAAATAGCACACCTCCCCCCAAAATTTAAAGGCACATTTCTCAAGTTCTTGTTCTCCTTTCCAATTAGAAAAAGTAAAATGTTATTAGATCCCATCCCCCTCAGGTACCTCATGCTGCGTTATATGCATGAAATATAATTTTGTCATATTTATAAAGTACTTCTAACTTTTGTGAAATATATTCATCATTGGTGACTTACATGGATATCTGAAATTCCTCAATAATGTAAAGCCTTCTATTGATAATTTCAACCCCACTCTCCCTCAAATATAGTCAGAGATGCTAATAATTCACAGAAGTGGTTGATTTAAGTATTACATTCTCTCTTTGCTTTACCACCCTTTGCAATTAGTATTATAAAAAAAAGGAAATAAGCAAAAAGGAGGAGAAATGTAAGGCCCCTGATACACAAACTAGATTTATTGGTCCCAGAGTAATTTACAATCTACTGTGAATGACTGTCAAGAAAATTACAGAAACAATGGAAAGACATAGGAAGGGAGACAAAAATGGCAGAGGCAGTTAGGTGGCATAATGGATAGAGCACTGGGCCTGGAGTCAGAAAACCCTGAGTTCAATTGACCTCAGAACCTACGAGCTATGTGACTCTGGACAAGTCACTTAACCTATTGTCCTTAGTTTCCTCCATGGTAGAATGGAGATAATAACAGCACTTATCTTGCAGGGTTGTTGCTGAGGATCAAATGAGATATTTGTAAAGTACCTAGTACGGTGCCTGGCACAGAGTAGGCACTATAAATGCTTATTTTCTTTTCTGATGGTTGCTGAATTCTTGGAATATGTCATCTCCTTTGGGAAAACATTATCTACTTCATGATAGTGTGATCAAGCATGAGTTACAGTTAGTATTGCTAGATAGAGAACTGCCAAATTCTAATCCCAACTGTGCAGTTATTCACCTTGAGACCTTGTGTCAACACTCCTAAAAATCTCTCTGTACCCTCTGATTTGCTATCTCTTAAATGGGAGAAAATCATGCTGATCTCCTTGACAGGAATGCTCTGAGGGATAACAGATAAACAATTGTGGAGAGTTATATAAATGCTAAATAATGATTACAATAATAACCTTTTGTAAGAGTCAGAGATGTGAGGGATGGCTCACACTTGGATGCCTTGGCAAATGTGAAAATCAATATGGCTGCTCCTTTGGGCACATTGGTGTTCTTTAAAATAGAAAAAAAATGATCCAGTGACCATGATATTCAAAGTGGTTAGTGATCAAATAACTGTCTGAGAGAAGGTTGAAGCCGGAGTGTGCAGTGTAAAATGAAAGTGCTAGGATAATGGTACATTACTGAATGGAACAGGTATCCTACAATTGGTAAATGAAAAGGCATTATTGCCATTCTAGGTTTAATCTGTGGGACGGCAGGATGGTAAATCAAATCTCATCAAACTAAGTCACTCACAAGAGAAAGCAATGCCAGAAGGAAAGGACGATGAGGAAAAGCAGGATGAGCAGCACTGGGGTCAATAGCCCCACCTGGTACTGTTGGCCTAGTAGACACGCTGGTTGTCCCATCACACTTTTTCAGTGGGAGACCAGAGGAGCCAGCACAAAGAAGGTTTTCCTTGGGACAGTACCAAGGCAAAAGGAAGAGAGGATGGAGAAAATTGTTTTAGAGTAGGAGGGAGGGAAAAGATTGTTCTCCCTCTGCCTCAGATCCTCATGGAACTTGTGATATAAGACTCAGTTTAAACAAGCAACAGAAAATGACAAAAAAGATAAAAAAGTTGAGATGAGGGAGAGGTTTTATTTTGATGTCTTTTTTTTTAATTTGAGAAGGAGATCTTTAGGGAAAAAACATAGAAATTACTATTTTTATCCCTTGTCCCTCCCCAACCCACATCAACCTCAACCTTATCTTTCTGAATTAAAAACATATATAGATGTTGGGGTCTAAATATATTTCACAGAAGAATGAGATGGCCTGTTATTGCTGAAAGCAATAGGCTCTTTTGTTATGTAAGTTTAAAGGAAGGCCATTTGGCTACTATGGAGACATCCAAGAAAGCACAGAGCTGGAACCAGTATCAACCAGGTTAGCACTCTAGGACCACATCTGCCATCCCCCTGCCTCCTGTTGTCTCCCTTCTCCCAATCTGGGGAGGTCTCTGTGGCCTCCAAACTAGAGATGACCTTAGTTACTATAGCACTTTCCTAACTAAGGTTGGGACTAACTTCTCCTCCATAGTGAACCTGGTAGATGCAACCAGAGGGTAGTCAGAAAGCTTTTGGCATAATATTTTCTTTCTTTCTTTCTTTCTTTCTTTCTTTCTTTCTTTCTTTCTTTCTTTCTTTCTTTCTTTCTTTCTTTCTTTCTTTCTTTCTTTCTTTCTTCCTTCCTTCCTTCCTTCCTTCCTTCCTTCCTTCCTTCCTTCCTTTCTTCCTTCCTTCCTTCCTTCCTTCCTTCCTTCCTTCCTTTCTTCCTTCCTTTTCTTCCTTCCTTCCTTTGTTTTTCCTCCTTCCTTTCTTTTTTCCTCCTTTCTTTTTTCTTTTCTCTCTCTCTCCATTAATTTGTGTGTCATCCTTGTGCAAGGGTTATGATATTTTCTCTGGATCATTCCAATTTTAGCATTAACACTGCCAAAGTGAGCATTAGGCAGAGTTTTTCAAGCCTCTACAGAAGGAGATTCCTCTGTGGGGGAGGCTACTCCTTGCACTTGATAGGTCTTTACTCCAAGCTCCTTCTGGGAATCTTGGGTTCATCTTTACTCCATTCAATAGGACAGATCCTGCATCAGGGATTACAGGACACAACAGAAGTGTTTCGTAGAGTAGGGGAAGGATCCTGCTCAGTGGGGTCTGCTTGGTTTTTGGTTTTTCTTTTTTTTTTTCTTGAAGGCACCGATCATCTGGGAAATTGTAAATTTCTAACTTAGAAGAATCTGGGCATATGAGATTGAGATATAGAGGACAAAAGAAACTCAGGGCAGGAGAGAGAGGGTAGCAGGCAGGAAGGTCAAGGCAGATTGGCTAGGGCAGAGACCCCTTGTTGGATGGAGAAAGAGTAGGCTTGGGCTTAATTCTAGTGCCTTTACTCCATTATTTCCTATTTATCCTGTATAATACTCTTATGTACTTAGTTGTTTGCAAGTTCTCTACCTGATTAGATTGTGAGCTTCTCAAGGGCAGGACTAGCTTTTGTTTTTCTTTGTATTTCTAGTACTTAGTACAATAGGCACTTAATAAGTGCTTATTAATTCACTGACTGAATGACAATATGTACACCAAGCCAAAGTGATATGGTGAACCATCGGTTTTTGTTATTACGACCCCTGTGGAGGTGTAGCTTTTGTGACAACATTTTTGTTTGTTTATTTTATTTGGTTACTATGATTATTTCTCTGAAAAGGAGAAATGAGAAGAGGAAAAAAACATAGAATGTCTTTTTTTTTTTGTCAAGTTCCTCCAAGAACTGAACTGCTAATAATAGGGGTCAATAGAACTGCTCAGCCAACTAGTGACTTAGCATTTCCTGGGCAGATAACTCATTTTCCCTCTCCTCTCCTTCTCCCCCAACCCCAGTCTCTTTTTCCTTTGTAAAATGAATGACTTATATAACCTCTAAAATCATGGCCAGCCCTAAAATTCTCAAATTCTATGTCAATCATCTACTGTGTATTACTGAGGTCCTAGGGCTGGTAAAAACCTGTAGAGTTACAAAAAATATAGCAAAAATGATAACAAAGTCCTCCCATGACTCAGAACTATGGAAATTATCAGAACCCATAGATACATTTGGCTGATTTTTTAACAAACATTTAAGAAACCGTAACAATGAATAAGGAAATTTGAATAGGGAAAGGAATGGCCATTTGGAAGTCAATCTCCCAGAGGTTGTACAGTTTCTTCCTTTTGACTCTATGACCTCTTGACCTCTTTAATAAGAGCAGCCTGGATCCATGGCTAAGTATTAGATGGTAAATTCTAATGTTTCTAACTTCCTGGACAAGTCTCAGAAACTCCCAGAAGTTTAGGCTATTTACTTAAGTTAAATTCACTTATTCAATGTAGAGGGATGGCCTCTATATTTCCGTTCTTCACATATATCAAAGTTCTCTTTTTCTATTTCTATTTTGTCTTTTGGTTGGGGGGAAGATTGGGAGGTTTGGTTGGGGCAATGGAGACACAGAGCAGACATCCCTTCCAGAAATTCCTTTGCTCCTCCATCACTGCATTTCTGGGACTGAGAGGTTCTTCCTCAGTATCTTCATGCCTGCTACAGGATTATAGGATTATAGGTTTAGAGCTGGAACAGACATTAGAAACCATCAACTCCAACACGCTTACTTTACAGGCAAGGAAAGTTAGACTGTAAGTAGCTTGCCTGTGGTTACACAGCTAGAAAGTGCCTAATTTTACTCTCTATCTTTTGTTTATTTATAAATTGTTCACCTATCCATAAGTCTGGTAAGTAATATGCTTTATTTATTTATTTACTTTATAGGAGTTTTCCTCAAAGGCTGTACAGTAGGGTCCAAGCCCACTCTAGTCTCAGGCTCAGCCCTGTTTCTCTCAATTGAATTCCTTCCATATGTCACAGTCCAAAGATGGAGCTTAGTGAATGTGTTGGTAAATTTTTAAAAATAGTATTTATTTTCCCCCTCAATTACAAGTCAAGACAATTTTTAGCATTCATTTTTACAAGATTTTGAGTTCCGAATTTTTCTCCCTCCCTCCCCCCCTTCTGAAAATGGTAGGCAATTTGATGTAGGTTATACATGTGGTATCATATAAAACATATTTCCATATTAGTCATAGTTGTGAAAGAAGAAATAGATCAAAAGAAAAAAACACAAAAAAGTAAGTGAAAAAAATATGCTTTGATCTGTATTCAGAGTCCATTAGTTCTTTATCTGGATGTGGATAGTATTTTCCTTCGTGAATCCTTTGTACTTATGTTAGATCATTGTGTTGCTGAGAAGAGTTGAGTCATTCATAAGTTGATCATTGCACAATGTTGCTGATACTGTGTACCATGTTTTCCTAGTTCTACTCATTTCATTTTGTGTCTGTTAGTAGAAGTCTTTTCAGGTTTTTCTGAAATCTGCCTGTTTATTATTTCTTATTGCATGATAGTATTCCATTACATTCATATACCACAGCTTGTTCAGTCATTCTGCAATTGATGGGTATTGCCTCAATTTCCAATATTTTGCCACCATTAAATTTTTGCACATATAGGTCCTTTCCCCTTTTTTATGATCTCTTTGGGATACAGACCTAGTACTGGTGTTGCTGGATCAAAGGGTATGCACAGTTTGGTTGCCCTTTAGGCATAGTTACAAATTGCTCTCCAGAATGGTTAGATCAGTTCACAACTCCACCAACAGTGCATGAGAGTCCAAATTTTGCCACATCCTCTCCAACATTTTCCTTTTTTTTTTTATATTAGTTAATCTGATAGGTGTGAGGTGATACCTCAGAGTTGTTTTAATTTGCATTTCTCTAATCAAAAGTGATTTAGAGCACTTTTTCATATGCCTATAGATAGCTTTGATTTCTTCATCTGAAAACTACCTGTTAATATCCTTTGACCATTTGTCAATTGGGGAATAGCTTTTATTCTTATAAATTTGACTCAACTCTATATATTTAAGAAATAAGGCCCTTATCAGAGATATTTGCTGTAAAGATTGTTTCCCAGCTTTCTGCTTTCCTTCTAATCTGGTTGCATTGGTTTTGTTTGTACAAAAACTTTTTGTTTTAATATAATCAAAATTATCTGTCTTTCATTTTGTAATGCTCTCTATCTCTTGTTTGATCATGAATTCTTCCCTTCCCCATAGATCTGACAGGTAGACTATTCCTTGCTCTTCTAATTTGCTTCTGATGTCTAAATCATACACCCATTTTGACCTTATCTTGGTATATGTTGTGAGATGTTGGTCTGTAACTAGTTCATGTCCTATTGTTTTCCAGTTTTCCCAGCAGTTTTTATCAAATCTCAAAAGCTGGGGTCTTTGGGTTTATCAAACACTAGGTTACTATGGTCATTGACTACTGCGTCTTGTGTACCTAACCTACTCCACTGTTCTACCACTGTATTTCTTAGCCAGTACTAGATGATTATTGCTTTATAATATAGTTTGAGATCTGGTGTTGTGAGGCTACCTTCCTTTGTAATTTTTCCATTAATTATTTGGATATTCTTGACCTATTATTCTTCCAGATGAACTTTGTTGTTATTTTTCATAGCTCTATAAAATAATATTTTTTAGTAGTTTGATTGGTATGGCTCTGGATAAGTAAATTAATTTAGGCCAAATTGTCATTTTTATGACATTGGCTCAGCCTACCTATGAGCAACTGATATTTTTCCAATTGTTTAGATCTGACTTTATTTGTGTGAAAAGTGTTCTGTAACTGTGTTCATATGGTTCCTGGGTTTGTCTTGGCAGGTAGACTCCCAAGTATTTTATATTGTTTAGTTATTTTAAATGGAATTTCTTTTTCTATCTCTTGCTGCTGGTCTTTGTTAGAAATATAAAGAAATATTGATGAATTTTTGTGGATTTATCTTACATATTGCAACTTTACTAAAGTTGTCAATTATTTTGAGTAGTTTTTTAGTTGAGTCTCTAGAGTTCTCATATCATCTGCAAAGTGTGATAGTTTTGTTTCCTCATTAATAATGCTTGTTGATGGTTTTTAGATAGATATTGCTTATCATTTTAAGGAATGCTCCATTTATTCCTATGCTCTCTACTATTTTTAATAGGAATGGGTGCTGTATTTTGTCAAAAGCTTTTTCAACATCTATTGAGATAACCATATGATTTCTGTTGGTTTTATTATGGATATAGCCAATTATGCTAATAGTTTTCCTAATATTGAACCAACCCTGCATTCCTGGTATAAATCCCACCTGGTCATAGCGTATAATCTTTGTGATATTGCTGTAATCACCTTGCTAGTACTTTGTCTAAAATTTCTGCATCAATATTCATTAGGGAAATTGGTCTATAATTTTCTTTCTCTATTTTAGTTTTTTCTGGTTTAGGTATTAGCACCATCTTTGTCTTTGGGACTTTGGTAGGGTTCTTTGTTCACCTATTTTTCCAAATAGTATATATAATATTGGAATTAATTATTCTTTGAATGTTTGTTAGAATTAATTCACAAATCCATCTTGCCCTGGGGATTTTTTCTTAGGGAGATCATTTAATGGCTTGTTCAATTTCTTTTTCTAAGATGGGGTTATGTAGGTATTCTATTTCCTGATCTGTTAATTTAGGGAATTTATATTTTTGTAAACATTCATTGCTTTTGCTCTGACTGTCAGATTTATTGGCATGTAATTGGGCAAAATATTTCCTCATGATTGCTTTAATTCCTTCATCATTGGTAGTGATTTTGTCCTTTTCATTTTTGATATTAGATATTGGTTTTCTTCTTTCTTTTTTTTTAAATAAAATTAACCAATGGCTTCTCTGTCTTATTGTTTTCCCCCCATAAAACCAGCTCCTAGATTTATTTATTAGCTCGATAGTTTTTTTTAAAACTTTCAGTCTTATTAATCTCACCTTTTATTTTCAAGATTTCCAATTTGATGTTCAACTGGGTATTTTTGATTTGTTCTTTTGCTAGTT